TATGCCCAATCTCTTGAGTCTGTGCTTATCAAGTTCCATGACGTTACCCCAAAAGTCTGAATGTTCAAAGACAAATGTTGAAGTACCACCCCAAGTTGTATCAATTTGTGCAAGATCAATGTGTTTTCCAAAAATCTTGGCCTTTTCGCTTTCCTTACCATTCACAAAGTGAATCTTATTCTTTGTAACTGGATTAATGAATGGAGAAATTGCTCTCCAGAAAATATTAAAGATGAAAGGTGTATCAACCATAAAACAAGCACCAAGTCTTTCTGGGTAACATTCGTTCAAAATGCTTAAAGTTTGTTTGGCAACAGAAAATGGTGGAGCGTTTCTTGTAGTATAGCCGTTAAAGTCAATGATCCAAGTCATTTGTTCAACACCTTCTGGCATTGCATCAACTGCTCTTTCCATAGTATATACCAATAATTTAATATTCTTTTCATAGTCAGTAGAATTTTCTCTAGCAGGGAACATGTATATAATTGGTCTATTATTCTTATCAAATCCTCTTTGGAAGAGTTTTCCTGATGATGATTCATCTTCCAATTCTTTGGCAGTAATTTCATCTGGTTTAAATGTTCTTCTCCATTCAAGACAGCTGTTCATTAACTTTTCTGCCTTGTTTAAATCATAGTCTCTTGCTCTGAGGAAACGTAAAAGTGATGGTTCATCAAGATATTTACGTTCTCTATCGGTTAAACTATCATAATCGATTTTCTTGATAAAATCGTTTAAAATTTCATTTTGTTCTTGCGTCAGTGATGTTCTTGGGTTATATCCCTTGGTAACATCAATGAATGATGTGGCGCTGTGCCTGTTATTATTGGTATAATAATAATGGCAGTGCAGTTTAATAATGCACATAACAATGGTCATTCAATGAATTAGATAATGAAAAAGAATCTATTAACGTACATTCTAGTGTGACCCTTTCTTTCAGACATTTTTTTGTTCTTGTTGATTGCTGATTCTATCAAGCGTGAGTCAAAATTGAGGACGCAAATATTCAGGCGGGTTTTGATGGTGTTGTGATCGGCTTTCGAAAAAATGTCTCGCGCAGTTTTTGTCAATTGCGACTCTTACACAATGGCAGTTTTAAAGCGGTTGCACTTTCAATAAGGTTTCAAAAATCCATCTCCGACAAATTGAGCGTGCTTGTAATGTTATTATAGTATTTGGCAATACAACCATGCTTGGAGAGAATAATCTAAGGTTCCATGTTCGAATAAATCAATACAATGATGCACCTGTTGACATCAATTCCATTGTAGATAGAAACAAAATTGATACTACAACTTTTATTTCAATCCATTCTGAATTTTGGATTCTAACAATGGTCCAATTGCTAAGAAAGATTTTTTCCAGTTTTAAAAGATTGTGTTATACTAGTCATGGTTGGTAAAAAATACTGAAAGAATCACTCAATTGGTGATTATCTGGAATATAAAGAAAGATTAAAAAATTAATCAAGCAAAACGTTGAGGATGGGATTCGAACCCACGCGGATTACTCCACCAACTTAGCAGGCTGGCGCCTTAACCACTCGGCCACCTCAACTTACATTGATATAAAAACAACTACTCATTGTATCATCAAAGAATAAGTTTACTGGTTCTCATCTCGTTTACTTGACGATTCAAAAGGATTCAGAATGAGCTCTCCATTTTCATCCTTTGCCTTCTGTTCAACATGGCCAGATGAAACGCCCAAAGGTGCCTCCTTTCTACTCTTATC